TTGTTACAAAACAACAACAACAACAACAACAACAACAAAAAGTAATAATAAGGCTCAAAATTAGTTTGAAAACCGATGGTTTTAATTCGAGTATATTGAGTTATTTTAGAAGTTGTAAAACAAACGCTATAACTCTGAACAGATATTTCCTATAAAAAGTATGTTTTAGCTTAAGTTTCAGCTTTGATTCTGATTTGATGACTGAACATCAGTGAGTAGCCTGCTTAGTTGGTGGTTTGTTTGGTAAGAGGCGGAAAAAAGCTGTGAAAACATGTGTAAGAGCAGTAAAGCTGTGCACCATAATTCTCCTTGTGGCTTTGCAACTCAGTTGTACACTCAACAAACAAAACTGCCAGCTTTGCGTGTTATTTATTAGCTGCTTCCCCTGTTAACCAAGAATTAGTTCCTAAATAAAACAGTCTTTGCACCCCTAGCAAAAAAATGATAATAATTTTATACATTAAAAGTTTCCTAACCCAGAGAAATTCATGTAACATGGATGATAGTAAAACATGGCACACATACGTGAATCCAAGGTAATACAATGGCATACCTCTCATACAATAAGGGGTTTGAAAAGTGATGATTTGTGATTTGAATAGTTTTCATTTATTTTGTCTAGCCTGCAAACAAGCTCACCATTTTGAGTGGTGAGCAAAGTGAGTTGGAGAGAACTCACAATGGAGCGGCAAAGAGTTGAAGAAAGGGGAACTTGCAATGTTCATACAGTTGGCTGAAAATTTCGCATCCCTCTCTCTTGTATCTCCTTTTGTGGGCCACTAATTTAACTACTTAAAAAGGCATCTTTTGGTGAAAAATTCATTGGCAAATTGGTTAAGAAACACTAAGAACAGGGGGGGATCCAGGATTTTTTTTAGGAGGGGGTGCATTCGTCTCTTGCTCTACTTCAACACCAATAAACCACATAGTTTTTTTTTGCAGAATACCAGTTATATTAGAAAACCGCAGGTCATCTCGGGGGGGGGGGGGGGGGGGCCCCCCCCTCC